AAGTCAATATCTAGCAATACAAAAAAGAGGTCCAACTATTTTTTTCCCCTTTCATCTACATAATTTCTTGAAACAAATTTCATACTGACCATGAAGGAAGATATATACAATATCGAACTGAATATTGAAATTACAGAAATTAAAAATCAAGTGGTCATGATCCTATTACTCTTAATCTACTAAAATAATTGAAATTCAGTTTAATTTTATATCAATAACAAACCAAATTAACATAACTTTGTGTTGTAACTCAATTAATTAAAGCGTGTGTATTGGTTGTTAAAAGTCACGAGTTTAATTTTTACAGGTATCAATATTATTAATATTTTCTTTAATATGTCTATTATGTTTTTCAAAAAAGAAAGAGCAGATAGCCAAAAAAATATTGACCTAGATCTACGTGCATGTGCTTGGTTGTAAGAGATCAGTTTAGCTTCTTTTTTTTTGTTATTTCTTTGGGTTTTTCTCACCTTATTTTTTTTATTTTATTATTTAATGTAAATTTTTTATTTAATTTTATTCTTTAATAATAAATTGATGATAAATTGATTTTTATATTTTTTATTAAATAATAAAATAAAAAAATCAATTCGACTAAATATAGTGCATAACTTGAGTTACGAGTTTTGCATGTTAACTAAAATTAATCTAACTTATTTTTTTTTCTTTGGACCTATCCAATTAACAAGATTGTATCAAGAAAACTCCCACTTAATTTAATTTAAAATTTAAAATTAATTGAAAAATTGAGCTAATGAGAATTTTTAATTTTGAGTTGTTGTATTGAGTTTAATAATAATATCAAAAAATTTGCTATGATGTATAAATTAGTATTCTGACATTTTGAAAATTTGTAGTCCAACCTAAATGATAGTGCGAGAAAATAAATTAGTATTTGTAGTTGAACACATTATTTATATCTTTATCTTTTTGGTAAGCATTATATCTTTGATTTAGTAATTGATGAAGTTGATAAAATCTTCAATATTTATGATTAAAGTTACATGCAAAATAAAAACTTTGATACTTAAATTAATTTGAGTTTTTTGTTAAGTTGTTAAGCAAGTTAGAAAAAAAAAAGATGGTGAGTTATGTCTTTTTTTGGGGATGGGTTTCAAATCCATCAATCTTGCTATGGATCGTAGATTGCATTTACATTTTTCAATAAAATATTCAAATATAAAACGACAATTTATAGCCTGCTATATGGAAAGATTTTAAAAAAATAATAATAAACAAGTTTTATTAATTTAAAAGACCGTGTTTAATTAGCCGAGTAAAGGTGTTGGCATAGGATTTATGAGATTATATAGGGAAAAAATGAAAGAATCTATGAGATGGGATTGTTTATAGAAAAATATAAAAAAAATTGTACAGTAAAAAAAGAGCATGAGAAAATATTTATGAAAATATGTAAAATAAAATAAAACATGCAAACAAAGAATCCGAATTTTTCCGTAGCCGAGTGACGCCTGACAGCAGGCCCAAATGCCTCGGCTAACCCAGATGACGCCTGAGAGCAGGCCGAAATGCCTAGGCTGACCCAGATGAGCGAACTCCCTGCTCGCTCAGGGTAGCCCAAGCGATCGAACTAGATCAAGACTTCTGGCTTCTTTTTTTTTTTTTACTTGGCATATCAGTAATCATGCTCAGAAATATGGAGCTAGTAGAAGTCCATGCAAATTAAAGACGGTGCCCGTAGAAGGAACCTTTTCACGCCGACAATAAAGTTCTTCAAATAGCTCTCACCGCAGACTCCATAGTCCTCCCATTTCCTACACCTTTAAGTAACTTTCGCCGCCTCTAAACCCTTCTCTTGATGAAGGAGGGTCACCATCGGAAGCACAAGTTGTTGTTTATGAAAGATAGAAGTAAAAAGGCTGTGAGTTCATCTTGATTATACAGAAATAGAAATGAAGAAAATTTAGCCTAATTTCTATAGTTTTATATTTTATACGAAGAGTGCATAAATAACTATCATTGCTTAAAAGATTGAACAAGCTTATCTGTTTTTTTAAACAATATAAAAATTAATTTTTTTATTATTCAAAAATATATCAAATAATTTTATAAATCATATTCAGATCATTCCAAACATTCCTTTAATAATGTCCATTATCAATCCTATAAAGATATTCAAACTTGCTTATAATAGTGTTTTTTATTATTACTAAAAAAAAGCATTATATTTTCACTGTACACACCATATTGTTCATTCTCTCGCATTTTACTATGAATTTGCTATTCAAAATTTTGTTCTATTTTCAATTTCATATGCAAACCTTTTTTTTACTGATTGTATTTTTTCTTGCCAAATTAAATAACAATTGGATCAAAATTTTTTGACTAAGAACAAAATTGAAAGATAAGAAACCAAAATAGAAAAGTTTAGTTTTGTCTTCAAATTTTACAAATTATATATATTCAGTCCCTTAACATTTCTAAATTCAATTTTGGAATAAAAAGTTTACTTTTGTTATTTTTTTCTCAACTTTGAGAGATAAAAGAGAGAGGTCATTGAAATTAAAAAGTGTTTAGAGAAAAAAACGATATTGACATTAATTTTAGCCATCAAAATAATCAATTTTGATGTCAAAACATTTTATTTGGCGAGAGGAATTTCACTTAAGTCTTTTTATGCCTTTAAATTGCTTTAAAAACTATATATGAGCTTAGGAAAATTTTTAATTTTGAGTTGATTTTATTTTTAATTTTTAGTTTTTTTAAATTATTTATGAGTTTACCAAGCTGTTTAAGTTTTTTTATAAGAATTTTAGATTAAAAATAAATTAAGAAACAGGTTTTGAATAAAAACATGGATCTTGTTTTCCTGATCATCTTAGTAGCTGGAATTAGGGGAATACTTGATAACTTGTCATTTATCTTAATTAACAACGTATTAAATAGTTCTTTTAAAAAATAAATAATAGAATAAATGACCGCTACAATTACATCAAAAAAATTAGGGCCTACACTCAAGCCCTTTCTAGATGGGTTAGGTTTAGGGATACCTTACCTCTTTTTTTGTTATTTTACTTAAAAAAAAACATATGTATTTTTTAAATATTTTTTAATTTTATATTAAAATTAATACCATTTCTCTTTAATTTTTGTTGTTTGTATTAAGATTTTTTTAAATAGTATTTTTTTTAATTATTTTGTTTATATTTAGTTTTTAAAGAAATTATTCTAATTCATCTATATTTTTTTATGTTATACATAATTAAAATTTATTTTTAAAAATAAAAAAATTAAATGGTATTTCTAATAAGTTTAACTTTACAAGATATTTTTTTATTTTTGATATTATTCAATCAGTGTGCACGTGTTTATTTCTCATATTATTTGATTAAATAAAAAATTAATTTTTAAAAATAAAATTATTAAATATAATTAGGTATAAAAATGAACCATATTACAAGATTAAATATATTAGTATACATTTGCCTATTGGCTTTTTGAAGAAAAATTATTTATTAATATAAATAATTCTTAATTTATTTAATTAGATATCTATAAAAAATTAATTTAAAATTGATATTTTTATGTAAAAAAATTGAAAAATCTTACTAGTTTAATGTTTTAGTGAAAACATTGTTTATATATATATATAAACTAATTATTATTACTACATGAACTGTTACAATAAGTCTTGTAAAGTGTTTATTTGAAAGTATTGATTTTTAAAATGTTTTTTATCTAGAAAAGTATATTAATAATATTTTTTATTTTTTAAAAATTATTTTTTAGATTGATACATTAAAATAATTTAAAAATATTAAAAATATATTAATTAAAATAAATAAAATTTAAAATTTTTTATAAATACTTTTGAAAAGTACTTCCAGACGCTCTCCAGAACCCAGAGAACGTGGGCCTCACAAGCTGTATTCGGTCCGCAAGCAACTTGACGACGCTCTACTTGAGCGGCACGTCGATTTGTTTTTTTTTTAATTGACATGGCTGAAATATACTGGCCACCGCATCCTTTACATATTCTTTCTTTTTCAAAAAGTTTTCCATTTTGTCGTTAATAAACAGCTTTTTTTAATTATTATTATTTTAAATTGACTTCGTGAATGTGGTCCCAACAAGGCAACAATGTTACACGTAAAGAATCTAGTAGGCTGCTCCAATCATTTTTTTTTAATTTTTAATTATTTTTATTATTCTGTAGGTTAATATTAAAAATAAAAAAATATTATTTTAATATATTTTCTAATAAAAAATATTTTAAAAATAAATATACCAAATACCATTTAAACCATTTTGATATTCACATGGTTGAATCTCTGCAAGACTCTTCCTGATCTTCAAGATGCTGCCTCCTCTTCTCCTCTCTTCGAAAATGATTTTCAATATCATAACTACGGGGATTGTTGGATTCTAATATTATCTAATGCAATTTTAATTTATAATTTTATTATTGAATAAATAACTCTAATGTAGTATATTTAAATATAAGTTGAATAGCTCTATTTGTGTTAGTTGTTTATTTACTTGGAAGATGAAAAGATTCCCAATAAATAATTATATAGATATTTTAGAAATTCTTAAACTAAAAAAATTATCAAAAAAATTATCAATTTTAATATTTGATTTTCTAAACTAAATAAGAAAAAACATTATTTTTCTAAAATAAATATAAAATAATAATAACTAAGAAAAATAATTTCCTGAAAATCCTCTTTCACCTAATTCTACAACATGAATAAATTATATATTAATTTTGATATAATTTTTTTTATCTAAACCTGATTTTAAAGGGTATTTTTTTTTAAGACAAAAAGGAATGGATTGTAAAAGCTTTCTATAAATACTCTTCTTTGATATGGCTGATCTATCTAAAATTAAATTAATCCTGCAAAAGAAAAGGCCAAGACAAAAATAAATAAATAAATACCCCTACAAGTGTAAATATGTGAGGCAAGTTAATGAAGGTAAAATTGCTAGAAAATGGTAGATAGAAATTTAATTCAAAATTATAATCATAGTTGGAGGACTTTAATTTTTCAATTAGCCATTTTAATTTTGTATATTTGAGGTTGCCATGAACAATCCCACGTCAAAAAGCATCTCAAATTTCTTCTCTCTCTCTCTAACAAAAGGAAAATTTGAGAGATGAGATTCTTGAATAATTCTTGATTCCATCAAATCTACCTTTCCGTTCAAATCTCAAACTTCTGATTAACCCAAAACAACAACGACAAGGTTTTTAAATCAAACCTCGAAAACAACAATGGACGACAACAGCAGCAGCAACACAAAATTAGGTTCAGGAGAATCAAAAAACAACAACAGTGAACAACAAGAAGAGAACCCAAATTTGAGCTCTAATGGAGAACAACAAGAAGGAGATGGAGAGAGAGAGGGTGGTGGTGGTGGTGGTGGTCCTCAACGTCAGACTTCAAGAAGAACTCCATTCACTAATCTCAGTCAAGTTGATGCTGACCTTGCTCTTGCCAGGACCCTTCAAGAACAGGTCTCTTTCTTTTTCTCTATCTCTATTTTTTTATTGAAATGGATTTTTTTTTTGGCTCATTGGTTCTCTATAATTGGTGGGCTCTTGTTTTTTGATCTCACGGTCAGTTTTGGCTAAAGCGTGGAATTTAGTTTCAGTTGAGGAAATGAATTAGTTGTTTAGGTTATTGGGTTTGAGTGACTGGTGGATTTTTGTTAATTTTGGTTTCAAGCAAAGAATCGAGTGAAAGTTTGGATTTTCAATTGAGTTTTAGCTGGTGCTATAATCACTTTTGGCTCAGTTGAGGAAATGAATTTCATTTTTTAGGTTAGTGGGTCTCAATAATTGGTGGATTTTAACTGGTGTAATAATCTCTTGAATAGTATGTTTCAGTATCAACAGAAGTTGAATTTTAATGGGTTTTCAATATTTTGATAAATGAGGGGAAAATATGATTGAGAACCCCAAATGGAGTAAAAATTTACCTGAATTGGGTATGAATATAATTATTTGCCTTAGTTATGTTATTGGTTAAGCAAATACACTCAAAGCTTCAATGAGCGGAGCGTTTAGTAAAGTTTTTCTCTAATATGATTAATTGGCTCAGTTGATTCTGTTTCTCCATAGAGCATTTGTTATTATCAAATATTAACCTTGGTTTCTCTAACCAAGAGATTTGCTTGTGAAGTCTACTTGTTCTCGTATCATGTGTATCTATTTCTTTTAACCAAGAGATTTGGTATGCTTGATTGATCATGGAGTAGGAAAGGGCATACATGATGCTAAGAATGAATAATGATGGGAGTGATTATGGAAGTTGGGAAGCTGGAAGTTATTTGCACGATGATGAGGATGATTTTGGTGATCCCGATGATGAGACTGATGGAGATGATGACACAGATGTGGATGACGCGGATGCATTTGATGTTCATGCTCATGCTGATGCTGGAGATCATGATAGTACCGAAGGTGAAATTGACCCTTCTGTGTATTCCAGTGATGAGGCTTATGCCCGAGCCTTGCAGGAAGCTGAAGAAAGGGAGGTAGCTGCTAGACTGCTGGCCCTTGCTGGCTTAAATGATAGTAAGTGTTGAAAATTACTATGGAACTGTTGTTTCCGTATGTCCATTTATTGGTAGTCATCTTTTTCTTTCTTTCTTTCATTCTTTCTTTTTCCTGAATGAATGGATACTGTTTATTATGCAAGTCTGCTTCTTTCTGTATTGTTTGTTATGCAACCTTAAGATCTTTTGCTAATAGTCTGTAGTTACAGGAGAAACTGAGGAGGATACTGAAGAAGATCGCGAGGATAATTCTCAGGTATCAATCTCTGTAACTGGTTATATTGTTTTGTTCCTCCTTTTTGGCATAGCGAGGATTTTGATTTGATGATTTGGCTCTACAACGTGCCAAGCTATTACAAATTTCCATATCTATATCTTGTGCAAGTGATTTTTGGCGTTTTTTTCTGGCTAATACAAGTGATGTATAATATAAAATCCTATGTCTATGCATATTCATCTCAAGTAATTTGCCCTTAGTTTAGTGATACATGTATTGGAATGGTGAGAAGTCAGTTTCACTTATCAGTGATTATTTCAACTGAACTGCTATCCTCTTTGATTGGTCTCATTGGGCTGGCAAAACAGTTCTAACCCCAGCTGCTGTGCGTAGAACAATTATTCCAGACGTTTACATACCAAATTGACAAAGTCAAACCCGAGAAGAAGTCCGCAAAGAAACCCGGAAGCATCTAATATGAAGTCTGAAGTTATTGTTTCCAGTTTGAATTATTTTCGTAGTTAATTTTAGATTTTAATTATTTGTTTCCTACTGGCATAGGACTTTTAATTTAATTAGTATTATACTGTTTACGAATCTTATCTTAATGTTAGATGGAATCTATTAATTAGGAATCCTTTCCTATAGAAGATTTTAGTTTTAATTAGGAATCATTTCCTATAAAGGATTTTAGGACTAATATAAATAGGGGTGTCTAGTTTATTTTTTAGAGATTTCATACTATTGTTCAGATTTAATCAAAATACCAAAGAATTTTTTCTAGATTTCTCTATAGTTATTTCTGTCACTTTGGGCTTGAGAAACCCTGTTTTATCTTTTTGCTATAAGCTGCATCATGCTGCCATACATTATGTGCACCTGTAAATAATCCTTTCAAGTAACCATCAGAAGAGCCACATTAATCTTAGCCCAAACCAATAAGTCTGAAATATTATACATGATTGAAATGTAATCAAAAGCCATGCTAACAACAACATAGGTTGTTACCATAGTATAGGGGCTTGGGGCCTGCTCCAACTGGCTCTTTTGGGGATTGTTGTCAATGAAGTAAAAGGTTAGGTATAAGAAGAAGAGAAGGGTATCTACAGCGTTGTGGTGCGGAGCTACTTGATGAACTAAGAAATTTGCAACAGTCCAGCCAATGTTTGACTTGCTTGCTGCTACCAAAAGACTTGTAGTTCTGACATATTCCTTTTTGTTGAAGCAAATAACCATGGAGCTCTGTAAACGTCTTTTTGCCTGCTCTTTGGGAAGATAATATGGATCAGTAGTTTGCTTAATTTTGGTTATTGCCTTACTCTAGTTTTCATTTTAGCCATAGGCCACAAATGCTTTTATAATATCCAAGTGTCTGGCCAATCTAGAAGTATTTTATTAGCCATTTCTTTTCTAGCTAGTTAATGTACATACAAAAAAAATTTCCAGTCCATTTAGTGGTGGTCTGTAGCTCACAACTTTAATGTGAATGTTTTGCTCTCCCTGGAAGGATGCTATTGTTTTGGGTCTGTTGCTAATTTTATTTTTTCCTCCAGTTTTTATTTGTGGAGTGGTATGTGAATGCAAATGTTTGTTTTGAGTCCTAAAATTTTTCTTTTCAAATTAATTCTGTTGTCTCCTATACATCTTAATTTTCTCTTTTTTATCCAGGATACATGGGAGGAGGTTGATCCTGATGAACTCTCATATGAGGTGAGCTGGCTTGGATTGAGTGTTCCCATGATGCTTCTACTGAACTTTATTCCTTATAGTATGATTCATTAATCTCAGGAGTTGCTTGCATTGGGTGAAGTTGTTGGAACTGAAAGCAGAGGCCTGTCAGCTGATACAATTGCTTCTTTGCCTTCAATAAACTACAAGACAGGAAGCAATCAGAATGGGAGCAATGATTCGTAAGCATAAATGCCTAACCTTATCTCAACTGTGCTTATATGATGATTGAAATGTGTGCTTGTGTTTCAGCTGTGTCATATGTCGCTTGGATTATGAGGATGGTGAAACTCTGACTCTGCTTTCCTGCAAGCATTCTTACCATTCAGACTGCATAAACAATTGGTTGAAAATAAACAAGGTATAATCCATTTGCAGTATACTGATTTTTGTTTGTGTAATCTCTTAGTTTAGTTACTTGCCCTTGTCCTTGTCCATTTTCCCTTCTTGTTTTGCTTCAAGCTTTACTTCTTTCTGGTGACTTAAATTCTTACCCTCCACCCTAACAACACGGTTTTCTTGGCATTGCTCAACTGTTTTTTTTGCTTTCACCCTGTTGTTCTGGTCATTGTTAGCCACTACTAATTTCAATGTTATCATTATTGACTAAGTGGTGCATAATTTATTAGCTACAGTTAAAGAACAAATAAACCTTTTCCTTTTCAATCACACTCGTAGTGAATTGGTGAACTGGTTAAGGGGTTCCATTTTAAAGTGCTGCGGGTGCCAATCATATGTTCAAGGGATCTTGTTGCTCTCAATTCACAGTTACGTTAGACCAACAGCATATGTTTTTTATTACGGCTTGGGGGGTCATATGAAACTTTTGGTTGATATTTTCGTTATGATTGCAGGCCTGTCCTCTTTGCAGCACCGAGGTCTCCACTTCTGCACACAGCTAGCATTTGTCGGATCTTCCTCTTCTACTTGTCAAAACCACCTGGATTTAAAAAGAAAAAAAGACCGATGCATGCACTGCTTGCATGAGTTGGCTGAACAAGTGTAGCTCTTGTATTGAATGCTTTTCCCAATAGGGGAAACGCCCCGAATGTGCATCTTGTATTAATTCTTCCTTAGCATTCCATATATAAGAAACCAGCACTACAAATTGGTTTCTGGTAACTTTACTATATGTGGCCATTATAGCGAAACTTCTCCGGGATGGTGCCCGCTTTCTGTTATTTTTCTCAGAATCTTCCTTTCAAATGAATATGGTCTCACCCTACCAAATTAAATAACAGCATGTATATATAGATGCTGTTTCTTTGGGATTTTCTTTCGCTCTTATTATCATGCTTTCAGCTTCAATTTTTTTTATAAGATTTAAAGATATTTTTATGTATAGTATAAATTAGTTTGTAATAAAATATAATAATGATTTAATAATATCTGTATAATTTTTTTTTTAAAAAAAACTATGGAGTTTAATTAGTAAATTTGAGTGCAGGATGAGATGAGTATGGGTTGGAGAAATCAAAATGTCCTCCCAATTAATCTGTCTCTCACGGGCGGAGATCGGATTCTTCTGGATAGGTAGGTCCGAATAGTATCCAAAAGGTTGGCCGAAGATGCCTTTGACCAGTGGTACAAGGTACAGGCCCGTTGCTTATCATGCATGGAACATAAACTCTCTTTCCCACCGAGCTTTTGCGAGTGTTCTTACAAACTTGACATTTGAGGCCTTCACTGCCTTGTAAATCTTGATTCCATCATGTTATAAGGAAATCCTGGTCTGAATTTAAAGAAACTTAATATAATCACCTTCCTTGATATGCAAATCAAGGTAAAGGCCTTTTTCCTGTCATGTATGTTATAAACTTGGATGGGTATGTAAGAGTTGGAATCATGAGAATCCTGTGGCAGTTTTTGTGAAGATTAGAATTTCGGGTCCGAAGGCTAATGAGGTTGGTATGGTTATGTGCTTATGCAGAGTTCTCTTGTTGACATGCATGCAAAATGGGGGGCTGTTGAGGAGGCTTTCACTGTGTTAAGTATGGGTTTCATTGGGAAAGAGCGATGTGTTAATTTGGAATGGTGAAGAAATCACTTGATTTGTATTCAGAGGTGAAGATTGTTGGGATTAAACCAGAATAGATCACTTATATTGCTTGTTGAGTGCTTGTGCTCATGGTGGGTTCATAAAGCAAGCTTGGTGCTTCTTTGACTAGTGTCATGATAAAAATGGCATGGCACCGAAGAGTGAGCATTTTGCTTGCATGGTGGATGTTGTGGCTCGAGCTGGTCAAGTAGCAGCGGCATATCAGTTTTTCTGTAAATGACGGTTGAACCAACAGCTTCAATGCATGGTGCTCTACTTAATGGATGCATGAAACATCGAAGATTAGATCTTGCAGAAATGATTGGGAGGAATCTTATTGAGTTTGATCCAGATCGTGATGGTAGATACATTGGCTTATCAAACATTTATGCATGCCACTGGCAGACCCTGTCACGAGAGAATCCATGGAGTGTGGAGGATGAGGAAGACTCCTGGGTATAGTTTGCTTGGGACGTCAGGAGCTTGTCATAGATTCACTGCTCAAGATAAATCACATCCTAGCATAGATCAAATTTATACAGTGCCAAGTTTTATTATAATGCAAATGCAAGGAGGTTTACTTCATGAAGATCAAGAGCATTGTTTGTATAAAATAAAGGGTATAATTTGAGTTACTTGAATTCTTCTCGAGATATAAATCTCATTCAAGTTAATATACTTCTAATTGGGTTCGCAGAATTATTATTTTAGTTGGTTGCTTGCCATTTCAATTTTTGCTCCTTTCTGAGACCCAACACGCTCGCGTGAACTCATGAACTTATTAACAAAAACTATCATTGAATAAATTTTACGAGCATATTTTACAGATTTGTTTATGTAATGGGTCAACTTGTTTCATTTTCATACCTAAATTATATCATAAAAAAATGTTTTAGAATTTTTTTATTATCTTTTTATTTTATTTTTATTTGGTAGATTTAGTTTTCTTTTTTAGACTAGTTCAATTAGGTCAATTTAGCATTTATCTTGCCATCTCCATCATATTTCTATTTTTTCTTTCTAATACTTTAGTTTGTGCGGGAGCATATTCGATAGTAAATTGTTGCTCAATTCCTTCTTCTTTGCAGAATTTTGCAAAATCTTTTGAGGTGTATTTTCGTACCTCAATCAATAATTTTTAAATATGTGGAAAACTTATGATTTTTTTAGTATAAAGTAGACCCATGTCATTCACCTATAGTAATCAATAAAGAACATGAAGTATTTGTTTTTTTTTTTTTGATTTACGTGGGGTGTCCGGGCCAGCTTGCGCGCACCACGACTAATCCCCACGGCCCACTGAATACCCTGCAAACCTAGTAGGTATGTAAGGCGCCGCGGGGATGATAGGCGTGCACGCCAGGGCTCAAACTCATGGCAGTGGAAAGAGACAAATTCCTTCCACCACTAGACCAAGCACCTGGTTGCAACATGAAGTACTTCTTTATAGAGGAGCTTGGAGAGCCAAAAAAACTATCAGAGCTAGCATATATAGATGTTTGACTTACCACTATTTTAATTCTTCCATGGTATTCTTTAACAGTCTTAGAATCTTCATTTTAATAGTTTCCAACCCTCTTCGTAGTGTTTGGAGTCTAATGGGTGCACCTTAAAATCACTGAGAAACTCCTCCTATAACATATCCCATGCATGTTTTGTTGTTGAAGCTCCAATAATCCTTGGAAAAATTGTATTAGCTAGTGATTGTTGAATCAAATAAAGGGCACTAGCATCCTTTTGCTCTTTGCCCTTTAACTTCTTCCATTGTGCTTGTTCTGGATTAGAGATATTTCTGTGAAGATAAGTCCCTCCACAGCAATGTCCCAAAACTTTTGAGACTTGAAAAGTGTCATCATTTTTATGTTCCACAAATCATAGTTGCTCCTATGAAAATATAAGAAGTGACATAGAGATCGATTGTGATGAATTTGTGGTCATAATGACCCTAATGCCCTTTTACGATCAATTGGGCTATGATACCACTATTACAGGATGATCGTAGTTTAGAAGTTTTAGTGATTAGTGATTGAAATGAAAATAGTTTGATAATTAAGGTTTTTAGTTCTAGTAGTTTTGTAGAAGAAGAACTTTGTTTATAATATGAAAATGGTTGCAGAATATGAGATACAAAAAGCAAAAACTAATTTATCAATAGGAGATAAAATACAAGGAGTTGTAGGACAAATGTTTTAAGCTTTAGCATAGGTTTTTTGGTTTGTCTTACAAGTGATGGTTGTGTGGTTATTTATAACTATCTTAACCAGCCTAGATGGAACAATTTAGACAAACTTTTCAGAACTTGCTGGAAATTTAGTCAATGCACTGTAAAATTCTAGAGTTCTTTGAATTGTGAACAAGCATTCTTTCTTTCCTAGAACATTCCTAGAATTTTCTTAACTTTTCTTAGCACTAACCTGTAGTTTGTAATATGTTCTAGAATTGATCTCAGAATCTTATTTAAGTGCATTAGTAATTTAACAAAGCTTCAAATTGAGATAGAATGCATTCAACCCTTACTCGTTATAGGGCCATAAAAGAGTTAGATGAGAAACAGAAACACAGTACTGGTTTTTATAAAAACAAATCAAACCGTAGCTTCAACATAAAAGCATATCTTAATACGTAGAGTCATGCAAACATACATGGCAATATTTAGCTGAAATCAAGTCTGTGTTAAAAAACGAAGGAAAAATAAAAATATTATAGCCACTACGCCTAATACTTCCACGTGAGAAGCCCTTCTCCAAATCTGATAATTCTGCTGCACACGTCACAAATAACTGAGTTATAGAGAGGCAAACAGCAGCAGAGACCGATATTGCTACTCTCACTTTTCATTCTTTGCTCACCTAAGTTCTAGACGCTAGAGCCTTGAAGGCTGGGTTGAGCAAGCTGGAGATAGTATGGGTCAATTTGATGAATGATGTTTGAAAGCTGAAGCACGCTACTGGGTTCTCCACAGAATGGGAATTGATCCAAGACTAGCTGATGCTCCACCGGCTTTGCTTCTATCGCCGCCTGTTGATATCCCAGCGCGGCACGATGCTCCTGAATCTGAAATATCTTTCATCAACCAAAGGAAAAGATTATACGATCAGAAGTAAGAACATTAGATGATCTAAATTCTGTAATTCATATGGTTCCAGCCGCTAAAAATCAAGTCTCCCAATGAAATATATATATATATATATATATAAGAGGGGAAGCCCTTGCCCAGCGGTACATATTGTTGTTTTCCTCCTCCAACATACGCTCCTAACATTTACAGAAAAAGGAAAATCAGATCCTTCTGTAGAATGTGTGCATGAAAGTGGAATTTGTGTATTTGAGACTAATTAAGAGATTCACCTTCCTGCGCAGATTTTCCAGCTCCTGGTGCAAGAGCTCATTCTACGTAGATGAACAATGAAAGAAACATATATAAACGACCTCAGAAGGATACATTCAGATCACAAGAGTTGACTTAAAACAAATGTCAGCCATGCTTTGTCTATCACCATTGCTGGATTGTTGAGTTACCTTCCTATGTCGGACCTTGTTAACCGCGCGTTCTAGTTCTTGCTCTACTGCATCCAACTCCCCAAAAGGAATAGAGCTCATGTCTTCACCGGTGTAGCAGCGCATGTTTGAATGAAGACGCCGGAACTCTTTTCTCAACATAGCCAATTCTCCATATAGTTGTTCCTACAAAATAAGAAAGAAAAGATCATCAAATATAGAATTCATTCTCGGACTTCATCGCTAATTAATGATGTCTGTAGAGATTTCTTTTTACCAGGCTATCATGGTCAGGAATGCAGGTTCCAGTCATCTTCTGATACCTTTCTATGATTTGCTCCATCCTGTAACACATTACATGCTTTTTATATGACAAATGCCTGATTTCGTGATAAATGATAGCAAAACATCGCCAACATGAACAATGACAAGGGCTAAATCTATTCTTGCTTTCGTCTGACTGTAAGCAATTATATTTATTTAAAGCAAACTCTCAAGACAAATATATATAGACCAAGAAACTTCAGATTACCTTTATATTATAACTTCATTTATCATTTTCCATATTAATCACTGTAAATTAACTCTTCAATAATCTCAATTTCCAGTCAGATACCATTGTCTAATCAACAATATTGCATTGGGTTTGAAAAAAAGTTACCAAAAATGGGAAATGAAATGACTCTCAGTCGACCAAGGCAGACCCCGAGTTATTTTTTTTCCTCCTTGTATACTAATCAAGAACAAAATTAATGACCTGATCAAGGACTGCAATCATTGCCAACAAAATGATATTCTAAGACTGAGATAAAATCTAGACCACATTTTATGCCCATTCTGGACTGTACACCACTCTTTCACTGAATTATATTCAATAGAAAAGAAATTTAACTATCAGAAGCTAATATATTTTGAACTATGCATGGTCTGATAGCTAAATAAATGGTTTAATTTCTACTTTTTTAGGCTAGCGCTTGGTCATGGATTTACGTAGCAAACACAAATTTACAAAAAATAGACCCAATTATTCCATAGAATGTTAGGTCTAGTAAAGCTTTCATGGGGTAGAGATCTTCAACGAGAATTTTGACGAAGAAACTGAAATAAAAGTTAAGCTTCCCATGAAGGGAAAAAAATAAGAAAAAAGGAAAATATTTTGACTTAGCAAACCCTAGTTTGTCAAAAAAAAAAAAAGAGCATAGAGTCAAGTCACTCAAGTTGGTCAAATATTTAATTATGAACGAAGGTGATGGGGCTTTATATATCCGTCAGTTCAATCAGAATGCTGCGCACATAGAAGGACCTTCTATGAACAGATCTAAGTCAGCCAAGAATTGGAAAATCATGAAGATCCTGTACCAAAAATTTAAGATTTTCTCATAGAAAAAACATCACATAGAAAAGTACTTTCTGTATGGAACCAAAAGGGGTCCAACGTTGTAAGAAAAACCAAATAGAACAGCAAAAACAAGTGTTAAAACACAGATGAAAATCCTAGAAAAATAAATTTTGGAATGTTAGAGAATAGTGATTTAATATAGACCTCAAACCCTCAGAGCAGTATTGACACAACTTTCCAGTGCTAGAGAAGATGATGAGCCCAATTTGAGCATCACAGAGAACTGAAAGTTCATGAGTCTTCTTCAAAAGCCCAGCTCGACGCTTTGAAAAGGTGACTTGCCTTGTTGTCTGGTTCTCAATCCTCCTAATGGCTATCTTTCCACGCCCCATAATTTTTTTGCCTTATACGTAGGAAAAGAACAGAAGTAAAGTCAGTAACCATCTTTTTTTCTCACAAGCCTGATTTTCTGGTTCATTTTGCAAGAATTAACTCACAGTGATTAGTTCTAAAAACCACAAAAGGCATGAAAATTAAGGTTACAAATAATGGAAAGTGAATTTCTAATAAAGATGAGGGACTTGTAGCTAGAAGACACGGAGAAATGACCAATGTGAAGTATGTTTCTGAAGCCTAAAATAATTTACTATAACTTGGCATAATGATCACTAGCCAAGATAATGATATTCATATAAGAAAGAAAACTTTCTATTACCTTTCTTTCTTCCTTTGTTTCTTTTCCTATGAAATGGAGAGTTTGTTTTTACGGTGTTGAGAGAGAATTTATTAGTCTATAAGCAGATAGCATACTAATAACTAGCCCTTCTACCTTGGCAAAACTACCAAAATGCACCTCATGCATGAACTTCTACTACACAATCCATGACAGACAATAGTTGAAAAGGAGCTCTCTTTTTTATATGAGATTTTGGTTATGTAATTCAAACCATTGGAGATGCAATAAGTCGCTGGTGTAGATGGCCATGACCAAGGGCATATGCTGTGTGACATGGATTGTAATTTGATGAAAAAGCATTCTCTATCTTTTATTGTCCTGTGATGGGATCACGGACAAAAGGTTGCTGTGACATTTACCACTCTCTGAGTCTGATCTGCCAAGCCACCTGAACTTTCCCAATTTGGGATTGTTTTTTAGAAGAGGATGGAAAACTAGGTTTACTAAGAAAAGAAGGGCAAAAGGGGATGGCCAAAGCCTAGGACCTTAAAGGATAACAATCCCTTGAGAGAGTCTTTCTTGCATGGTAATTCGTATTCATGGCTGTAGATGGTGAAGTGAAACTGATTTTTTACACTTTATAAGCCTTAGCTGGCCAGGTGATTATGTGTATGATCGTGAGTTTAAATCATATTAAACAAAATATATTGGGTGTGGCTATTTAGTTGTAATAGCGGGGCATAAATTATTATGTATTGTTACTGATTAAGTTTCTCTTGAATAGAAAAAAATAGAAGGTTCTGTTGTAGGGTGCTTTTCATTTATCGTTATTAAAAGATTGTTAAAGGATATCTAAGTTTTTTCTAATTTTTTACACAGTAAAAATATATTTTTATCTCTGATATCATTAAAAATTAGAATGGTTGACTAAAGATTCTTTTTATTTTTTATAAATTTTTAAACTATAAAAATATTTTTTTACTCAAGGATTAAAAAACATTGGGTTTGTATACAAGTTTTTTTTCCCTCTCGTCATGTATAGTTAAAATATATATTTCTGGCCTTATAAAAGATAAAAAAAAAATTTGTATTTAAAAATATTTTTATACTTTTACATGAGTTATTTGGGTAATTATCAAGGTCATTAGAGATATTTTAGTATTTTTCATGTTGACTTTTTAGAGTTTTTATAAAAAAAATTATTAATGCATACTAAGCACTACTTTTACATGAGTTATTTGGGTAATTATTAAGGTCATTAGAGATATTTTAGTATTTTTTATGTTGATTTTTTAGAGTTTTTATAAAAAAAAATTATTGATGCATACTAAGCATTAGCCAACGAGTGAATAGTGTTTGCACTATTTAGGCAACATGCTCAACACTATCCAATAGCCAAACTTAATATTTTATCGTCTCTTTAGATATTTCATCATATTCTTTTCAACATGATGTGATGCGTGATGATGGTCAAATTTTGTAGTTTTTTTTTGTTTTTTTTTTCTCTCTTTACTAGATAAAGTGCATGATTATCCTCTTTGCTTTTAGTTTTTCAATTTCAGTCTCTATTCTGTTAATTTTTTATTTTATTTTTATTTTTTTAGTAAAATTTGTGTTTTTTTCAATTTAATCGTTTAATTAAAATTTTTTATTTTTTTCATTTCAGTCCTTATTTTTTATTACTTGCCCGTCTTGTTAAAGTTTTTTTGGCTTTTAGTTTTATTATTCAATTAAAGTTTTTGTTATTTTATTTGACCCATATTCTTTTGATTTGTTTTTCTTCTTGTTAAAGCTATTTTTTAATTCAATTTAATTGTCTAATTAAAATTTTTTGTTTTCCCTCTATTTAATTTTTTTTATTTTCACCCTCATTCTTTTAATTAAAACACTTTGTTTATTTATTTTTATTTTTTTCTACTCTTTTGATTTCTTATTTCATTCTTATTTTTTTATAAAAGTTTTATTTCTCAATTTATTCCTTCAATTGCAATTTCTTATATGTTTGTTTTCTTTCATTTATGTCCTTATTCTTTTTCTTTTTAATTTTTTTTCTTGTCCCTTTTGTTAAACTTTTTTGGCTTTTAATTTCATCATTCAAACAAAGCTTTTGTTGTTTTATTTTTTTTCTAATTTGACCCTCATTCTTTTGATTTATTTTTCCTTTTATTAAAGCTATTTTTCTATTCAATTTAATCCCTAGTTGAAATTTTTTGTTAGCCCTCTAATTAATTTTTTATTTTCATCCTAATTATGTTAATTAAAGTTGTTTAGATCCTTTTGTGTAATTGATTTTTTTTTTCTAGTTTTGTCTTTTGATATTTTATTTGTTGAGGATTCAATTTTGTACGATCTTATCATTCTTCATTATTATTTTTTGTAAATATTGGTTATATAATTATCTTCAATTTCTTTTCTATAAATTTATTTTGATCTCATGAATTAGATCATGAATTTCACATGTTTTTTTAATATATATATATATATATATATATATTATTTGTGTTTGATCTTTCGAGATATTATTCTCACTCATTTATATTTTTTATGCACAAAAGAAGTTTATTTTTCAAAATAAAAATATTTATTTTTAAATAATATTTTTAATATGTTCGAACTTGCACAATATTTTTTTAAAGTGTGAATTTATTCAATCAATTTTATTTCTGTTTTTATTTCTATTATTTTTTATTAATTTAAATAAAAAAATTTCGTATACACAATTTGATACATATCATGTAAATGAATATCTTAATTTATATTTATTTTTTTAATTTTTTATTATTAATTTTTTATTTATATATATAATTTTTTATTTATTTAATTAGATGTTTTCATTGGCTTTTCAAGAATTTTTTTTTATAAAAAAAATGAAATAGTCTATACATGAAATGTTTTTTTTTTTTTAGAAAAAAATTTACAACACGCGGGGAGTGTCAAGTGGATCGCTAGTATTTCAGTATAATTACTAATCTCCACCAAAGGTCATTTTCCTGTGGTTAAGAAAACCTATCTTTCAACATTTTGACTTGAAACTACCTCTCTGATCTATGTGGCAGCAATCGGTCAAATATATGCTTGGGTACGTATATATTGGGCTCCATGCCACTGAGCCACAATGGAGAGCAGGACACGTTTCACCAATCAAGCTGAAGAAAATGCTGTTATTCAAACGATGTGTTGTGGACTTGAATTATTTATTTTTTTATGCTCAAAATTTATTTGGACAGATACTTGTATCATCTTTTTTGCCATATGATGTCATGACCTTGATCTCGATTAGCTAATGAACAATTAAGTGAAATTATGAATGGAATAAAGTGGATTTAAATTTAAGTACCTTAAAAATCTTAAAAAACCACCCAAAAATCTAAACATATTTATATAAATTTTGATAATTATGCTCACAAATTTAATTTTTATTAAGATATATAGGCTCAAACATGGTAGCCTAAGCCCATCTTAAGTATACATGTAAGTCAAGATTTATTTTTTATCTCTAACAAGTTTAAGTACCGTATAAAATCCTGAAAAATAATTCTCAATAAAATGTTATTATGGTAAAAATACAATTTAAAATATCAAAAAAATAAAATTATGCTCCAGCCTTTCATCTTTATAAAAGGATAAAATTCATGAATTTAAAACACAACATGAATCTTTTGAGTTCAATATTTATAATTATCACAGCCTGAATCTAAAGTTCCTGACTAGCTATCAATTATGTGAATTTTTCGTATTAAGCCATTAAATACCTTAACTAAAAAGAATAAATTAAATTATATGAATTAAAAGATTAACCAATTATTCAACATATCAATCTTATTTCTAATCATCTTAAATTTTATAACTTACTAGAAAATTAGTATAAATTAGAGAGAATGGATTAAATTATTTGAACTAAAAATTAACTGCTTATTCAATATATCAATCTTATTTCTAATCACCTTGAATTTTATAACTCATTAGAAAATTAATATAAATTACCTGAACCAATTAAAAAATTAAAAGAATTAACCTTGCTTGCAATTGCAATTTTTAGCTTCATGATATTGATCATTTCAATTTTGTTGTACTTTTAGATTTCTTTTCAAGTTTCGAGTAATGAACAGGTAATAAAATCATAATTAGGAATTTGTGTATATAAGTAGCATTTTTTCTTGTATAATCTCGATGAGGCTAATGAAGAAGAAGAAAATATTCCTAACAGTCCTAGTTATTAGAGATATGTAAATGATAATTATTACCATGTAAAACCCCATCAAATATATTAATCTGCTGCAAAACATGCAAACAATAAACATGTAATATAGAATACTTCCAAAGAGTAAATGTGAGCTCTTAATACACGTTAATTCTAATTAGTGCTGTTCTCCTTGCTTGGTCTGCTTTCTGTGTAAAGAAAAAGAAAAGCTACTGTAACCAACGAGGGTTGAGCCCAGCAGCGAGGAGCTAGTTCCACCCCACGAGACGAACACAGTTCGAATCCTTGCTGGTAATGAAACCTGTGCCAGACGATGCTATAAAGCAGAGATTAATCTCCTGCGCCGGTAGGGGCCGGAGAATACCCTGATAAGAAAAAATGGATTGGTTTTCTGGTTGCTGTGGCCATCCATAGTCAGAAAACACAAGTCTGAGGGTGAGCTACTAGCTGGTCCCCTCCTATGCTTGTCTTTCTTGTGTTGATATCCATAATATCCCACTTGACCTATATCTACCACGCTATTAATGCTTAGCCTATCAAGTCATTGATTCCCATCTTGTTAGCCATATTTATCAAAGTCTATTATTATTATTTGACTTCACTGAGACCTCAAAATTATTCTTTAGTATCATTAAAATAAATAAAAGTTGCCATTTTTATGAAGACAAATCTTATCATTCCACTTCAAAAATTGTTCTGTTCTGCCAAGAGTTTGGACAAACGTATCAGGCACTTCATATCAGCCACATCCAGAATTAAACCCTCGAAGTACAGGCTCATCTTATTGTAAATTACCAAGCATTGAATATTATGAAGATATTATGAGATTTTTGAAGCGTTTCAAGATGAAAATGGCAGAGAAACAAGACTCGTGGTCAGATTACTAGTGATTATATCTAAACATTTATAATTAATTACAAACATGCACAATAAATACTGTGCTAGCCAAAAAGATTCTGCAGCATTGAAGCTTGTGCATCTTCCTGTGTACCAATCTCATTCAGGAACAGTTTCAACAATACTCATGTTTGATTAGCAGCTAGCTAAGCCAAATGAAAGTTTACATCTGCTTATGAACAGGGGAAATTTTTACAGTGGCTACCATATGTGCCCGAAGCATGAGTAAAACGTTAACCAAAAACTCCTGCTTTAAGGTGTTCACTATGATGCAGGACTGGAGATGGCCCTGCCTATGACCTCTTCTTGCTCCTAGCTTGCTCTTTCTTGACCTTCTCAGGTTCGTCCATTCTGAAATCAAAAAACAAAAGCACTTGATTGCTCTGAACAAATTAACAAAGAAATGCATATTAAATTCACAATACTGCAAAAAAGTAATCTTCCCCTTGGGCATGAGCATCCGTAAGCAAAAGAAACAAACGCATTTCACATTTAAATATGCATTGAAGAGTAATTTCAATTTCCTTCATTCACAGCCAAGCCTGGCTTAAAACTGTGTCATGACACAGGCACAAGAATGTTTTATGCACTGCAGCAGCACAAAATTATAACAAATAGAATTGTTTAACATGTCCTTCATGAAGTTCAACAGAAAATGTTCAATAAATTTCCTATGTTCATAACCTGGTTTTACCAGTGTCCCACTTATCAATTAAAATCAAACATATCATTTCACTGTTACCTTCAGTGGAAATGTGTATAGCAGCTGAAATACAGCAAATTCTTTTATGGACAGAATAAATTCATTTTCCATTCATCATACATCATGCCCTATCATAGAAATATCAAAATGCTCCATATATACAGGAATGCATCATGCCAAACTGATAAAATGAGCATATTTTGCAAAAACATTTTGGCAATGATTTGATGGCAAAGAGGAAAACAGAATTAAAGCGGGGCATGGATATTGCTACAAATACTAGTTTATAAATGAAATATGAATGAATAGTTACTCACTCTCCACCATTTGTTAAAACATTAAGAGCCCATCTAGCAGCATGAAGATACATTTTCTTTATCTGCATCAAATACCCACCCAGGTTAGATTTAGCCAATGAATGATAAACAAGTAAATTTGGAGTAAATGCTACTAAAAATAAAACATGTCATGTCAGTTATTGGGATTCATGATGCTACAAAGTGAAGATAAAGTTTCCATCATGATGCAAGGAATCAAGAGTTATATTGACTAGTGACAATAACACGGGCAACTTTGATGCAATTACAGTTCAAACGATGTTTGGTACAGGACAGTTTTAAGATATTACAATGTAATTCATTATTTTGATGGGCTTGATACTATATATACAAGCAGAACTTATACTAAAAAGCACTAGAGATTATTCTATTGTGAAACATGCAATAGCCTAGCAGTACTCAATGAAACTCCAAGGGTTTGACATACTATAGCAATTAAAACTCTTCCTAGCATTCACAGGGCAAGACTGCACAGATCATTTCAAGTCCAGATCAACCCTTTCTACCACTTAATTCGAATTTGAATTCAATTTCTCTTATGACATGATCCTATAATTTTTTAGCATTAACCAAAATAAGACCATGGAATAAATCTAAAAATGGATGCAAGAATGTCCTACTTAATACATGTTCTATAATATTGATCTAGATCTAGAAACCCACTGGACCTTTAAGAAAAGTGATATGCAGAAAAAAGAAACATCTACAACAAACAAAACCTGGCCAGCTTATTGTTGAAAGATTCCATTCTCTATGCACAAAACAATTTCTCAAGGAAAACATTCTTATTACCAAAGACCCGTTCCTTTTAGATAATGTATGTTTCAGCACCTTCCATTATTATATAGACATGAAAGTAAAATTAGAAATACCTCCAACTTGTCTTCTTTAGCCCGATGATTTGGAGGAAGCAAACGGAATTCCTCTGTCAGACGTATGCACTCACCTACATTTTCAGGTGAGACAAAGTCCATTGCTACCTTAATGCAAGACTGTAAAAGATAGAAGCTAGTTACCACAGAGATTCAGCCTACGTTACTTTTCATATTTGCATATGCCCCTGGGGCAAATGAACAGATTTAAATACCAAAGCTCCCATCTTAATAGAAGAATTTAAAATCTAAGATATAAGGTTCAGCTTTTTAAAATAAGAACTGTAAAATAGAAGCATATTGCATGATAATTCTAGTACAAACCTTGTCAATTATACAGCTAAATCATCACAATCTCACACATCGTAATAAAGACAGAAAATGCATCCATATCAGATCTAAAGAAATCTGAATTGTTTGTTAATGCAGTGCCCTAAAATTTTAGGACCTGGACCATTGTGCACCAGGAACACCATCAGGCCATGAATGTACTGAAAAGGCATGAGGATTTGGATTAAGGCTGCCTAGAGAACCCAGAGTCCATAAACATAATCAACTTATGCTGTTCTGAAATGCACTACCCCCAAAAAAGAAAGAAAAAAACCTTCCAGAGGTCGCCTGTTAAGATTATTGCCATAATAGCAGCCACGGGCAACCATAGAAAGTGATTGATAAATTAGCAATATATTTATGAAGACAGTTAAGAAATGAGGAAAACAGGACATGTTAATTTCAGATATTGCCTAATCCTTGATAAATGCCACTGCCATCAATTTCAACATCCAAAGAATAACCAACAGCAATTACCAGGCAAACCACTTTTTTGAAGTCTTAAACAAGTTTCTTCAAAACACAGATATATTTTACCTTCAAGTTTCTCACTTGATGAGGACAGCCTGCAGGAATGAAGACAGCATCTCCAAGTTTCTGGACAAATGTCCATGGTTCAATTCCTTCATGATGGTGTCAAAAACATGTTTATAAATGTTAAAAATTGAGAGGAAAATAATTAATCCAAACCAATTAAATAGATCACAGGACTAACCATATTCCTCTTTTAGCTTCCTCTTGTGCTCTAGAGTCAAAAAAAATGTCTGGTCATGAATGGGGTGAACCACCTGCAACACCAGAAATAACCCTAGTTTATTGAGAGATAATTTCAGGATGTAAGCACTTCAGCTAAAAATTCAGACAAGCCACAATGAACCCAATTTATTTGGTCCACCTTGGTCAGATTTGAAATGACAGTTTCCTTCTAATATGGGACCTAGACTCTTTCTACCAAGTCAGAAATACCATTTTGTAAAGAGTAACCACAGGGAAAAGGTAGATAGGAGAGCTGGATTTTTTAAGCAATACACAATTACCTTTGGTAATGGGCTACAGTGGATATGCCTAAATTCCTTGAAGTGCTTGTTGAGATACTCCTGCAACTTAGGAACATCTTCTCTCCGGAAAATGTCCCAAACAGCACCTCCATCCAAAGCATCCATCCATTCTGACTCATTTCCACACTTTATAGGTCCATCCCCGCTACTTCTGCTTTGAACCTCCTCATTACATTTCCCTAGATTATGAAGCAGAAACATTAAACAGAGAATTTTCATTCTGGTCATCAGCTTCACTAGATAATCCATTATCATCAGTAAAAGACCTACCAGAATCAACACCATGCATGTTATCAATTTCATCCGCATTCTGACTATTCCCAAAAAGCTCTCTTTTATCAACTCCATCCATATTCTGATTTTTTCCAAAAAGCTCTCTTTGGTCTTGTTCAAAGTGCTTTAGCTTCAACTTTTGTATTTCAGTATAATGAGTTTTATTGGACACATCAGCAGTATGCGTCAAGACGTTTACCTGAAACAGCCAGATTTAATATGCACAAATTAATCATTATTAAAAGTATGAGATTTAGCAATGATGTCAGATTCTGATCCTGATAGTCACAGCACATATAGATACTAAAGATTCACTGCTCAGATTCTGATCCTGATAGCCACAGCACATATAGTATTTTAACACTTTGCATATCATAACATCTGACAGTTGATTATTATCAGAACAGCCGTTATCAAGAACACATTGGCTCATCCCAGTAGAGTCCTCGCAAGGGAATGCTTAATAGAAATCTTCTTTCAACAGTCTTCTCACTAACTGAAGAAAAAATCTTACCATTGCACAGGACAGTTACCCTTTGAATGTCAACAAAAGTTATTAAAAACAACACTCATACAACAGAGAAACATTCAATTTCACTTAAATTTTTATGCAATATTTGGAAGAAGATACCATACAAATCCCTGGAAAAAGTTTAGGAAGATAACCAACCTATGCATGTGGTATCAGCAGAATAGAAGCAATTAAAGCATCATTCTATAAGCCAACTACAAAATGCGACCCTGTAACACTTTGAGTTTGGAAAACCAAGTTGTCTCGACTTCTATTTTAGAGTTCAATTTTCACCTTTTCTAGACAGTTGCTTTATTGATTTCTAACCTTCCATTCTCTTTCTATCACCATATATCTTATTTTATCTGAACAAGAAAAGAAAAGGAAACTAAACATACCGCATCAGACATGTCACAGTGAAGCTTAGTTACCGAATCTCCACGCCCAAGCTCTTCAGGATATCCATAGGCAATATATGTCTTTGGCCCCATATCAGGCTTCAAAGAATTCTTAGGCAATCTGATAGCAAGGTTTAAAGGTCCACTGCGTGGATGTGTATACTCCTTAAAGGGCAAACAACAGATAAATTCAGCATCATGTCGTGGAAGACTTTCACCAAATGTTTTAGATGGGGGCCAGTCTTTCAGCTTCAGTATCTGAGGCCAATTTTTACCATCAAACCTTCCCCCTGTGTAACCAATGAAGAATTGATGGACATTAATATCGACCTGCATTCATCAAGAGTTGAGCATCACATTAAACATCACAACAGATGATAGCATATCAATAGGATTGAAACCATCATTATCATGAAAAATGGAGAATATAACAAGAATGATTATCATAAAATAGCAGTAAAAGCCAGCAACACTTCATCTTCAATGCACGCAAAAAAAAAGGTGAATATACTGACCTCACAGTAATCCAGACACTCAATTGCCTTTACATCCAAAAGTGTGTCATGTTTCTCATTTTTGATCTGGCGGAAGGCACGCCACATGACCATTGGCTCCCAACTCAAACCAGATGCAGTTTCAAGCACATTGCGAACAATCACAGGCTCGGCTCTCTTCCAATGAAACTGAAAATGCTTCAAATCATCCTCTGTGATATCTTTGGCTATTGGATAGAATAAATAGTTATCATCAGAATCTTCTCGGCATGCTGCTTTTAATAACCTGTTACCATTACTGATATCAAGATCACCAATGGAATTAAAACAAGCACATTGTTCATCAGGAGCATTAGCAGAGTCAGTTTCCCATTTTTTGGACATTTCTTCAACTTTCTTTACCAACTCTGACACTGAAACCGCAAAATTGACTTTTTTGTTTGGGAACAAACATTTTAGTTCTAAATTGCCACTATCACAAGCACAATGAATGCTTCCATCTTCATTTGCTTTCCATCCGGACTTTGGCCCCATAAAATCCTCAGATTCATTCTTTTGAGGTAACTTAACTTGTGATTCAACCTGTGGTTTGCCTTTCCCTCCATGCAAATATTCAAATCCTCTGTTAATATATTCCATAAGCACATCCGGCCCACCACCTTGCAAGTGTCCAGCACGGATCTCTCGACAACAGGCAAGACAAAGGTCAGAAGAGCAATTTGAGCAACTTCTGTGATAATCAAAAATAGAAGTTCTGCAATTATCACTGAAAAACAATTATGGATTATTATCAAAACTAAGAAAATGAAAAGGTGGGAAACTCCAATAACTATATAACTCACCAGAACATGCGCTCATCTGCAGGGCATTTAGCATTCTCTATTTGTAAGTCCGCAAGTGGTACACCTGCAGAAATAAACTATTAGTGATCTGACAGATAGCAAAGCCAACTCTCTTCAGACATATGCACAAGCACTCGTTGGCCACCCCCTCGTACTCACAATGTGTGCACATTGTAAAACATAGATAAGCAGACATTTACCTGCACCAATAAAATACATGCTTCCAGATAATTTATTAATCAAAATATGTGAGAAAACCTTTTATTGATAAGACCATTACTTGGAAGTAACAGCAAGTACAGCTAAAAGAAAGGCCTTTGATGTCCAAACAAGAAGGGAAACACAAAACATAAGAAATAAAGAGAAGATTTGTTGTTAGAATACAAATCATTGCAAAAAATGGAGGACTTGGAAATTTGTCCTTTAAACCAACAGAAAACCATTTCATCCTATAAAAGCAACACCTTTTGTGTCTACAAAATTCCTTTTTTCTCAATCTCAAACATGCCTAAAGCAGAATGTTTAGCAATTAGATAAAAAAACAAGGCAAAACTTAGTTTTTTATCAAATAAATTCCATATATTTGGGGTAAAAGAAGTGCTTACCTTTTCTCTTGGCCTCAATCTCTCTCTCCATCATTTGTTCTTCATCTAACTGCTTCAGAAACGGAAGAAGCGCACAAAGTAAAAACTCAGAGTATCGCACTTGTTCTTCTTTGCTTACTTCCAGTTTTAAATTTTTCAGTTCCTGTAGTACATAACAAGAGGTAAAATTATTACATCTCACACGTGCATTTAAAACAATTAACAAATACACGTTAAAGTACAAGTTGCAAGGTTGGATTACATACCTTCATCGGCGCATCCAGGCGCAAACAAGATTTACAGTTGCAATTTCCAAGACAGACAGGACAAGCATTGGCAATTTCATCCTCTGTCATCTTAGGATACCTACAACATGAACAAAGAATTCCTTAGTAACAAAATCAATCTTGGAGAAATTAAACTATAGGAATTTATAAGATGATTCAAAAAACCACTAAAACATGTCTAAGCTATGCCATTGTCTTGTAAATGATAAAAGCCAGTCCTAAAAATCCAAAACAGTATATCATGTGCTAAATTAACTTATATTAACAATATAATGTTGCTCATGATTTGCAATAAAATTGAGACCAAAATTATTGGTACATTATCATGCATGATATCACCTGTTCCAGCAGTTAACTCTATAGCATTTATATTTAGAAACAAGATATATCTTTGTTAAAACAAAACCATCATACTAATTACACATAAGTTCATGAAATTCACAACAAATTATATAATAGATAACAGAATCAGTATAATTCACAAAAGGGATAAATTAAAGATAATTTAGATTCCATAATGCCAATTCCAACAGAAAAAAATACGGTGAGAAAACAAGAATTGAATGGTATAATGCAAATAATCCTACAGTATACCATTTCGTCAAGCATGGTATGCAATAGCGCTTCCTTTTACATTTCAGACACCGAACAACACGGCCCTTATCATTTCTCTGGCATTGATGACACATTAAACACACATTCTCAATAAACTGCAAAAAAAAAAAATCAGGAACATAAACAACCATCAATAACCGAACAGACAATATCAATAACAAATCAAAGATATTTAGTTACCTCATTATCACGCCTGGATTTGCTTCCCTGATCCACTTGCTCTTTCCGAGTCCTGAGCCCATAACCTGTTTCAGAGCTCATCATCAAACAATCTCCTTCGCCACTTTCTTCCTTCTCTTCTTCTCCCTCGATATTCTCCTCCTCCTGATTCTTTTTTCCTTTTCGACTAACTTTCTTTTTTCCACGATTGGCATCACCATTTTTACTATTTTGCACACTTTCCAATCCATCACTCTCTGAGACTCCATTCTTCTTCCTCTTCCTGCGCTTCTCCCCAAGCACTGCCTCATCTAATGCAGCATCAAGCTCAGCATAGTTTACCTTTTTATCAGTTCTCCTCGGCCTCTTCTTTAATGAACCGCCATTCTCTTCCACATCACCACCATTGTCCTTACCTACCTCGCTCTCCACCTCCTCATTACCCGATTCACTTTCCTTCTTCCCGCCCTTATTCTCTCTAGCAACAGCCCCTTCACTTTCCTTAACCCCCTCGCTGTCCTCCTCATTCTTAACAAATCTCACCTTCTCCTTTCCTCCAACACCCAGTTCTCCAATCTCTTTCCTTTCCTCGTTATCCACACTGAATTTACCTCCCTCCCGCCCCCTCTTCTCTGCCCCTTTTTCTTCCCTTCTCCCGTCCAATTTTCCTTCTTTACCATTTTCAACCTCTTTCTCTCCTTCCTCGGCATCCACCTCCTGTTGTACCTTCCTAGACTTCCCATACATCTTTCCATCAACCCCTCTCTCTTCCTTCTTGACGAAATCCACTTCAATTTTCTCACCTAATTCATCTTCGTCCCCACTCTCCACCTCTTTCTCTCCTTCATTCCCAACAAAGTCCACCCTTTGCTTCCTCTCAACAGCTGAAGAAAACCCCTTTTCGTCATTCTCCACATTCTCTTCTTCCACCTTCTCCTCCTCACGATCACTCTCTTTCTTCTTTCCCTTCCTTTTTTTCCTACCCCTTCTCACAGCCTCCTTCAAATCACCTTCTTCCTCTTTCTCCACACCACTACCTTCCCTTTCCTCTTCAACAGCTCCAATCTCCCTCTTCTTTACCTTCCTCTTCCTATTTCCCATCTTTGAGGCCCCGTTTCCTTTATCAATATCACGACGTTCCTCTACTTTCCCTTCACCAATTTCACTACTTTGATCTAACCCCACATTCCCCTTAACCCCCTCCTCTGACCCACCATTCTCCACCGCTTCCTCCACCAACCCCGCCTCCGATTGCGCCGGTTTCTGCCGCTTCCTCACTCTCGCCATCACAAAAGATTGAAGCTTTTATTAGCAGAGGATAAAAGGAGACTTTTTCGGTTTTATTTTTACAGTGGATGGACACAGGGTCTGTTTTCCTTTTATAAGGAGAAACTGGGATTTTTTTTAAGCATTTTTGTTTTTCTTGTTTTTAAGAAAAAGAAGGTAGGGTTTTCTTCTTAAGGCAGGGAAGGGGTATTTTTATTTCTGTTTCTGTGGGTGAAATAAAATATGATAATATTATTCATTATTATCATCAATTAATTAATAATAATTTAGTGCTGAATTGGGTTTTTGAAATTTCTTGGCGCCAAATTTATGGATGCAAGATAAAAAAAAAAAAAACTCAAGTGTGGATTTCTAGGGTTTCGAAATAATTTTGGGAGGAAAGATAATCCGTCTATTTTCTGGAGATAATCTAGGGAAGTGGAGCTAAAGTTGGTGGAAATATGGAAATGGAATAGCTATGGAGTATGTAGGGATCATGTTACTTGTAACTCTTGGCTCAACCCTCTGTAATTTTAGGTTTTTTTGCATTTTCTACATGCAACTTTCATAAATGTTAAATATTTATTTTGATATCTTTTTGTATTATTTTATTTTTATTTTAAGTAAAATATTACTAGATAAATCGCTCGTATTTTTCTACTAATCATATATATCGTAATAAATAAATAAAAGTTGGATACTAGAAAATATAGAGAGCATTAAATTTTGAACTAAGAGATCATATCTGCACACGCTTGCATTGAAAGCAACTCAGCCAACTAGTTATTAATATTCATGATTTAGCGAGCAAAACAAACATGTTATTATGATTAAATTGAAGGATTCTCAGGACAGGCTAAATAGAAGTTGCTTTTAGCGAGTAGAGTATCTGTTTGTTTTGTATTTTAAAATTATTTTTTTAAAATTAAAAAAATATCTGTTTCTTGGTATTTTTTTATATTTTTTATCAAAAATAATTTTTAAAAAATAATTATAACTACATTATGCTAAAAAAACAACAAAGACAATGAGTGTTGATACAAAAGGACTTCTTTACTAGGTTGTTGTTAATGGATGATCAACACGAGCCCAACAGCTTAATAAATTCTTGAGATGAAATTCATGTTGTATTCAATCTAGATCAAACCTGGTTTTTAGAAATGGAAGTCATTAACAAATTATTTAATTTGTTTTAAAAATATTACATATGTGAGTATCCTCTAGAAATAAATATGTTGACCTAGCATTGTTAAAAATCAAGTTTAATTAACATATGATTCGTTTTATTTATTAACTTAATAAAAATTTATCGGCTGTCCTAAGATTAAAAATGTCGTGTAAGTTTACATTAGTCTTGAAAAAGCAGAAAACACATTTGAGCTAATTATTAAAATTAAAATTTTATCAAAACATGATACTAACTTGATAAAAAATTATTATGTTATTATTATTTTTTTCATCAATGAATATTTACACGTTCATACACATGCATACATATAAAAAATGAAAGCTCAATTTATAAAATAAAATAAAGAATACATAAGTGAATAGTAATCTGTTTTCAAAATAAATATTTACGAAACAAGGCCAAGTCAATAAAAATGCACGAATGAATAATAAATATGCATAGACAGGCATTTTGCATAAAAACTTATTTCCAAATATGAACTTTTACACATATGTATAATTGAAAATACAAAAAGAAGCTAATGTAAAAGCAAAGCCAATAAAATATAAAATTAAAAGGTATGGAACGAATAGCGTCCATGAATATTGCAATAGCAATAGCTATGATTTTGCATATTTGACACGTATGCAAGTGTTATCAGGGCCTCGGTTTACTGGGACGAATTCTAGCTCCAATGTCACCTTTTTCTTAGAAAATTTATAGTTAAATGCTCTTTTTTTATTTTAAAATAATATAAATTATTTTTTAAAATCTTATCTCACTATTTAAAATTTTAAATTAAAATAATATTTTGACAATTTTAATTTTTTTGTTTTATGAAGTTTCAAGGGGGTTTTTAGCACGGGATAGGCGGTGGTGAGAAAGGGAATGTGCAGGGAAGGTGGTGTTTTTAAAGCCTATTTGATATTTGATAATATGATTGTGGGTATTTTTTAAATAATTTTTCATATTAAAATATATATTAATAATTTTTTAATTATTTAAAAATTATTTTTAATATCAATATATAAAAACAATTCAAAATATATAAAATTTTAACGAACAAAAAAAATTAATTTTTTTTAAAATATAGTTTATATCTCATCTCCAAACATAATCTTAATGGTTTTTCAGCAGGGAGTATTTTGGAGGTGCTGCAACAGAAAAAGGTTAAAGATGGTACTGTGCATGACTATATCGGTGTTTTTTCAGGCGAAACAGTGTTGTTTTCACTTAATGAGGGAAGGTTTTGGTTTTTTAAATCGATCATCCAAGTTTATCAGCTTTTCCAATTTACCCTTGGATTTTTAATTTTAATTTTCTTCATCAATCGCAACTTTTTCTTACAATTTCTTTTAGTTTTGCTCATAATTGCACTTTTTTTTTCATTTTCCCGCTTCTTCCAGTCTAGTCATTGATTTTTTTAATTTCTTTTATTTTTGGCTAGTTATCCCTTTTTTTCCTAAGGAAAACTTACACCTAACTTCCTATAATTTAGTTAAAATTGCACTTTGTTTATTGTATTTAAAAAAATTACAGTTTATATATATATGAAAAAGGTAATCAGCAAAGTGAAAGGTACAGTAGCAGGAAAACATTGGCTTTAACATTTGATGTGGTCTGATGCAATGAGAATTGGGTTAGGTGGAAACTACTGTACTAAGCTTGATGGTTCTGCATAAAGAATAAATGCTTAAAAAGAAGCCTTTGACTAGATTTGAAAAGCAATGGGAAAAAAATTTCATAAATGATTGTCAAAAACTACCCCGCCGTATGTAAAGAAAAAAGTTTTTTATTTGGTTTTGTAATGGAAGGAGCTTGTCTTCTTTCACTGTACTTGAATTCGAGTTCTAATATGCACGTTTATTATTCCCGTGGTGCTTTACATGCCTACTAGGTTTGTAGGGTATTCAGTGGGCCGTGGGGATTAATCGTGGTACGCGCAAGTTGAACCGGACACCCATGTAAATAAAAAAAAAAGATTTTTGTACTTGAGATTATAGTATAGTGAGGAAAGAGATTTTTTTTTTTACATTTAAATTTAATTTTATTAGTATATATTTTTTATTTTTTATGATATTTTACTTATTTATTAGATTTATACGATACTTGATAGATTTAAAAATAATTTATAATGTATGTAAACTAGTATAAATATACCAACTTAAAAAAATAAAAAACTTCTCGTTGATGTGCAAAATAACATCATGTGTAAAGAATAACCCAACTATTTTATGATTTCATATTACCTTTTCCTCGAAAAAGAAAACAATACCATCCCATCTAATTAACCAAAATAAGAAAAAAAAATCTGAAATAATTTAAAATAAATAAATAAAACTCAAGGGACTGAAGTGGAAAAGCATTGAAGTCACTTCATTATTCTGTTAAACAGTGGTCAAGTCCAATCACCCCATTAACTTGTCAGCCAAGTGAAACCTATTCATAGTCATGAAAAAGCTTATTTTAATCTGAAGTTTCCATGGCTTCATCAATAGCCAAACCATAGTTGCATACCTTAGTTCGGATACAAATGTGAGATTTATGGTTACATAATATGTAGAATATTTGAAACTCAAGAGTCATTGAATATTTATTAATTAAATAATACAATCAATACATCGAGGTTGATATTTATGCAAAGTAATTAGTTTTAAACACATTACATAAATAAATTCGGGGAAAAAGATAATTTTGTTTAAAATTATATATTTAGAGTGTGAAGGATGTTATATTCGATCAAATATTATATTTGGTTATGACATGATAATTATTCCAATCATAATACTCATGGTGGATTGTAACTAACATAAAACTAGAATTCTGTTATAAAACAAATATTATTTTAGGTTATGATCGGTTTCAAAAAACATGATTCAAACTAAAGCATTCAAAAAAATAGTTGGCTTGCTTGTTGTGGAATGGGACACAATGCTATGTTGGACTATTTTTATGTCGGGGTGGGGTTTAGTTAGGGGGCTTGAGAGGTCTTATCCTTCTTCTTGTCTGGGACTGCACAAGACATGGAGCTTTGTGTCAAGTGTCAATCAAAGATGCGACAGAGTGCATGGATTCCGGAACTGTTCATGGTATTGTTAGAGGACTTGAAAAGTGAAATGTTTTCTAGTCCTGAGGAAGCACTAAGCAGGGCTTGAGTGGTGCAAGTGGACAGTGCTTTTTTTTATTTTTTATTTTTTATTTTTTATGGAGGGATAATAGGGGCAGGGGCCATTTCTAGTTGAAAAGGAAGAAACCTTTCAAACCTTGTAACTAGAAACTAGGAACTACTTTTGTTAATTGCTGCTGTTAGTTTTAGATGACTAAAACTAGGAGCTACTTTTGTTAATAAACTGGTTTTGGTTGAAAAGGTTTCCATGTCACTGTTTAACTAGATATAAGATAAATTAGCATGGATTGCTACAAGTATTTTTTTTTCTTCTTCTTTTAATTATGTCCAAATTGATAGTTAATTAAAGCATATTTATTAAGGAACAACAAGATTTAAAGACAGGACATTAAAATAAAAAATAAGGCATGAAAAGATGGTATTTTAAAATATGAGTTTAAAAGTTCATTTTGATTTTTTAACTTTTCAAATTATAAATTTTCTCTCTCCTTGCACGATTAATCTGAGCTAAAAAAGATTTGTAGTTTTCAGGTTGATTATGTGTTTTGGAACAAATTTTTGAGTTATTAAAGACTATATGTTTTATAAGGTGTTTAGGTTGTTTTTATCTGGTTTGTTGGATTAAAATATGATTTAAAATGAGTATTTCTTTGTTTAAAACAACTTAGTTTGATTTTTTAGAATCCAAGTAAGGTAGGCGACCGCATTACTTATTAATTTTTCCTCCAAAAACTAAGGGGCATATGACAAAAAAAAAAAGAAAAAGAAGAAGAGACTTAAACATGTAAGTTGTTCCAAACCCATGTGCATGGGCCTTTTTTTGGAGACTCGGGAGCTATGGGTCATTCAGGTACGAGAGCTTGAATTTTATATATATATAT